GGCATTGGCGGTGGAGGCGGCCGGCGGTGGCGGTGGCGGTGGAGGCGAGAGAATTGAAATAATGAAATGGTTTAGGGTTTTGTTAGGATTTTATACTTAAAATAAATTTGGAGGGTAGATAGTAGGGTGGGTATGTAGATTATTTTAATTTAAAATATTATTATTAATATTAATGATAAAAATTAAAACCTGATTTTTGATTAAATAAAGTATAAACCTGATTTTTTAAAAGACAAAACTAAATACCTTGTTTAGTGTAATTTCCTCTTTTTTACACCTCTCTCACATGGAAGGGGGCCCACACATAATAAAATAATCGTGGACCCCTCTCCATGTGAGAAAGGTGTAAAAAATTGTGTAAAAGTGTGTGTGTACATGTAGCATTACCCATTTTCATTTTTCATTGTTCATTTTTGCCTTCTTTACCCAGCAGTGAAGAAAATGCAATAAAAGCACACAATGTCTCTCCACAGCCACACTACCCATTCTTAAAACCCTAAAACCCTTTCATCGATAAAGTTCCTCTCTCAAAGCAAAGCCCAAAGTTCTGATAAAAAATCAAAGATTTTGCACAATAATCATGCAGATTGATCGAGGTGAGGATGAAGACTCGAAAAAGTCCCAGGCGTTACGAACTTTCGCGACGAAGGGTCCGTTGCCCATTTCAATAGCGAAGCTTTCAGGCTCATCTCGAGGTATACCATCTGAAAGAGACTTCCATTTCTACAATAATTTTCAAGAATTCAAGGACTCCGTTAAAGAAACGGATCAGAAGTCGGAAAATTTGCTAAAAGGGATCGGGGAATCGGAGAATTTGTTTATGAAGCCAATAGCATTTCCGGACGATATAGACATTGAGTTAGATGATGACGTGGAGTACGATTGGCTCACGAATGTGAATGACGATATTTTCGAGAGGTGTGATGCGAGTTTGGACGAGTTTAAGAGGTTGCGGAAGAAGGAAGAGGAGAGTGGTGTGAGAATGATGAGGGTTGATGGTGATGATGATATGGAAAATGGGTTTCAGATGGTTCACGGGAAGAAGAATAAGAAATTGATGGTTGAGAGGAATGTGGAGGAGGGGGAACAGGGAGGGGTTCAAGAAGTGAAGGTGGCGGCAAAAGTGAAGCCGAAAGTTCCGTTTCATGTTCCAACTATTCGAAAGCCACAAGAAGAGTATAAGATCATTGTGAACAATTCAAATCAGCCGCATGAGCATGTTTGGTTGCAGAGGAGTGAGGATGGGTCTAGGTTCATACATCCCCTGGTTAGTATTAAATTTCTCATTTGTAAATGGTCCACTCATGCATTATATTTGGTTTTCAGAATGATCAGAAATGGGGGTTTCTTGATAATAGGAACAAGAAGAGTATGAATTGTGTAATGATGTATATTTCGGAAATTGTATTGTCACTGTGGTGAATGATGGCAGGTCGATTACTGTAGGACATTACTGAGCTTCATTGCTTTGTCGATTGTTTCTTGTAATTGTAATTTTGTACTACTTCTGAACAAATGGTTTAAGCCAGCTGTGTAAACTGATTTTNTATAAGACTTTATTTTTTACTCTTAAACAACTTGTATTTGCTTTGGCATGAGAATAGTAACTTATGGATATTGTGTATTCCTGTTAGCTTTTCTTTAAGTTGTCCGTAATTATTAGATCACTTATTATTGTCGCGATGCTGCTGCTCCTCCTTCGATTTTTACATAGTAAAATTATCAATTATGTCAAGTTGGATTGTGTACTTACAGGAGAAGCTCTCTGTCCATGAATTTGTTGATAAAAAGGATAACATTGCTGAGCCTGTAAAGCCTTCTTCATTGGAATCTACACCATTCAAACTCGTCGAAGAAGTTAAGGATTTAAAGCAGTTAGCTATTAAGTTGCGCAATGTGGACGAATTTGCGGTAAGCTTTGAGGCATTATTTCTTCTTAATCTAAAGTAATGTCACGTGGTTGTTGTTTTGAACTCATACCATTAATTGCTAGACTAAACATGCGACATGTATGCTTAGAGTTGTGTTTAGAGGTAGAGTTGTCCTTTTGCAAGTTGTCAATGGGGTGCTGTCACTCTAAAGCCTTTTTGCTATGAGGCCTCCGAAAAAAAAAAAGTTAGCGCCTTAGTTATTTAGCTTATAAAAGCTGCCCTTTGTCGAAGAGCTCTCTGTTTGCTGTCTTTTATCAGGTGTAAATTTGTATCCCATCCAAGTAGGTTTCACCATTCTTTTGCTTATACAGATTATGAATATACTCCTAATATCCAAATTGTAGAGCATTCATATGTGATTTAACCCTCTGTAATTCAACCAATTTATTTTCTGTGCTTTATTGCTTACTCTATTTTGTAACCTTGTTTGAGAAGTTTATTTTATTCTTCTTCTATTATTGCAACTATGATTATCCTAATCTTCCCTCAAACTGCAGTTTGGGTACTTATATGCTCATTCTTCAAGGAGTTTTTAGGAATTATATTGTGTGTTTGGAGCTAAATGATATATATGTCTTTGAAGACCAAGGTCTAATTCGTACATTTCTTTTTGGCTGTTGACACTGTGTAGATTGATCTGGAACATAATCAGTATCGATCTTTTCAAGGACTGACATGCTTGATGCAAATATCTACAAGAACTGAGGATTTTGTTATAGATACTCTGAAACTCCGCATTCATATTGGTCCATATTTGAGAGAAGTATTTAAAGATCCAACTAAGAAAAAGGTAAATTAACAGATCATTGTGCATTCTGAAAATGCAGTGGGTTTTCTTTGTCCAATATTGCTTGTTTTGATTAGGTGATTCATGGAGCAGATCGAGATATTATATGGCTTCAAAAGGACTTTGGCATATACGTCTGCAATATGTTCGACACCGGACAGGTTCATTGACTTGCAATGTTCTTGCTTAATTGGGTGAACTTGAAATGACATTTTATGGGTCTATTTAGTTGATGAAATATGTTGAATATACAGAAGGACATCGTAAAATTATTTTAGTAGAATGGATTTAACTTTTTTTAGTGATGCTGTCTACCCTATATTTTAAATATGTCTCTTTTTTTTTTACTTCTTGATCACAGTTGTTATATTACTTCCTTTAATGATTGAAACCATGCACTTAGAAATTAGTCAATAACACTTTCTTAGATGGGTTGGTGGGCATATAAAATGAGGAATAAGAGGCAGAAGCTTGGATTGCTGCTTCCTTGGAGAGCATAAAGTTTTGCAATTTTCGTATGGTTGACTGTACTTATTCATACTCTCCCTCTGTGTGTCTGTCTCTCTCTTAGTGATTTATAAAAATCATCAGAGTCTGCAATCTGGTTTATATATGTATTATGAAGCACTTCCCTGAAAATTTCCTGTACTTCATTCTAGTTCTGGGGTTGAGCACAAATTTCTTTTTTGTTATTAGGCCTCAAGAGTATTGAAAATGGAAAGGAACAGTCTCGAATATCTGCTGCATCATTTTTGTGGAGTTACAGCAAACAAAGAGTATGTCATCTTGTTGATAAGTAATATGGTAGTCTGCTTCATTGTGCCCCTCTGCCTTCCACCCCTCAATCTCCCCTACAATGAACATTAAAAACCAAAAATAAAAAATAGAGATATATGGTATAAGAAAAAGTAAGGAGAAAAGGGAAAAAAAAATTAAGAGAGACAAAAGGCAATTATTATGCTGACCAGACTACTCTCTCCAGATACCAGAATGCGGATTGGAGACTTCGCCCCCTGCCCCATGAGATGATCAAGTATGTGCTACTGAAACTTACTATGCATACATATCACTGTTCCATGTTTTTGTTTGTTTGGTGCTGTAAAAGCTGTGCAAATTGTGTAGACCATCCTCTTGTTCGGGGTTGATTTCCCACTGATGATGGGAATGTTTTAGAAGAATAAGTTCACCTAATTTCATCTCGTGGACATGTACATTCTTTTTCAAGAGGAGTCTTAGAAATCTGTATTGGATCTCTTAGAAACTTTCAACTTAGTCTTTCCAAATTTTGGCTCAAATTTCCAATGGAAAAAGAGTTGAGATCTTATTGTGTTCCTCTGAAACCTCTACTTTACATAGTGCTATAACTAAGAATTTATAGCTCTGTCGGTCACTTGAACCCTGTTATGTTTACTGGAAATCATGGTTACCTTTGATATGCTGGAGGAGTATGCTTTCAGACCAAAGTTCCTCCGTGTTGAATATATATCCATAAGTTATTGAATGTTTTACTGTCTTCTTCCCATGTATGATTGACTCCCAATCACCAAAGATAGCCTTTGCAATGCAAATTTTATTGAACCCTTTGATCCTTGTATAATTACCAATTATGGCTTGTCATAATCGTGTTTGAATAGGTTGTGATGATACCAATTATGTTTGAAATGCTTGTAAGAGTTTCTTATTATCTAATAATTTGCATTCATGATGCGATTGGCTAAGCTTCTTCCTCGTAATCTCACTACGTGTGTATGGACTTCTCTAACACAGATATGCCAGAGAAGACACTCATTATTTGTTGTACATCTATGATGTGATGAGGATGATGTTGCTCACGTCATCTGCAGAATCTGATAGTTCTGACCCTCCTCTTGTACAGGTAACTCTTCTTTTTCTTGAATTGAGTGAATTTGCAATTTTTCAGTAGAGTTTATAAAAATTAAATTTCCCGTTTATTATAAAAACTTATTAAAAGGTTTCAGTTCGACTTCATAGCTCACTATTTATGCATGGAAATCTACATATTTGAATTTAAGATTGTAGAAGAAAAGTCTGAAAAATAATTAAAGTTGTTGACTGAGGTAGAACCGTTAAAAAAATGTCTTTTAAAGTGAAAGATTTAACATTTTAGACCTCAAGGTCCTTCAGAGTTGCCTTTCAAGGTTTATAAAAAGGAAAATTGAAGAGGTGGTTTTTTTTCCTAGACTTGGCTGTGGAGGAACTTGTATGATTTGAACTGATAGATTCTATGAGTTCATCTGTGTTGATGATAGTCAAATTCAACTATGGGATCTTTTAGAATTTAATCAATCACATTGAAAGCAATGTTAGTACAGATATTTAAGTGACCTACACTTCGATATGATCCTGCATTTATGAATTCCTCTTGGCACTGTTGCACAGCCACTTCACTTTATCTTTGGCTATCTTTCATCTCTTTTTTGTAGTCAAGTTTTTACTTGTGAGCTGAGCTCTCACGACAAGCTTATAAGTGATCAGGTAGTACTACACACTTCAAATTTTTTCGACCATTTCTACGAGTAGGCTAGACACCCGAACAAAACCTTTGGTTTTGGAGGAAGCTGATGCGACTATTTTGCCAAGTGTCCAGTTCGTATCACCTTACTCAGAGAACTGAAATTTGTTTAATTTTTATTCTTTGTTTTGACTTCTTAAGCATTACTAGGGTTGATAGGAAAGTATAAATATGATATATTTTGGCTTATTGAAGGTGGAGATACACCAATATTAACATTGCCTGTTGTGGTTGCAAAATCTAGCTGCCTTAGATTTTTCAATGTATGAAGTGATAAGTGAACAACTTGATGAAAAAGGATTCATGTAGCCAACTTCATATTCGTTGGGTTGAGGCTTAGTTTTTTGGTTCTCTTGTAACAGTTGCAGTCTTTGCAATGTGGTTTCTTTTACAGGTGTATAAACGCAGTTATGATATATGTATACAGCTGTACGAAAAAGAGCTTCTGACAGATAGTTCATACCTTTACATTTATGGGTATGATTTCTACTTGTCGATTTGTGATATGATCTTTAAACACCATGAACTGTGATATTGATTCTATCAACATTTATTTCAATTTGGATGTTTTTATATCTGCTCTTCGCATAGTTCATTTTTAAAAATTTTCATGCAGGGTGCAGGGTGCTGGCCTAAATGCTCAGCAGCTAGCAGTTGTTTCTGTAAGTTGCTCATCCAGCGCTCTGCTTGTTTGCTAATATATTTCTGAAACACATTTTCCTGCCTTTTATACTTTTGGAATATGCGACTTTCGCATTTGTTCTGAGCTCTTCTGGGTAAGCATATGGAGATTACTAGTAATCAATGTTACCTCAGTAATTTGTTTCTCATGATTTGCATTTTTCTCTGTATTTCCTGCATATTACTCAACTAGGTTGTCTAGTAACTATTGTATGACTTTTAGGGACTCTATGAATGGAGGGATGTCGTTGCTCGTGCAGAAGATGAGAGTACTGGCTATGTATTGCCGAATAGGACTCTTATTGAAATTGGTACTTGCTAGCCTGTCCAAATTTCAAATAGCTGTGACACAGTCTATTTGCTCGAATGCTTTATGCACTATATATGACTCATGGGTTCTTCTCTCTTTCTCCTCACCCATTTCCTCTCTTTCCCCTTTATCTTTGATGGTAAAAAGCTAAACAGATGCCTCTCACTGCAAGCAAATTGCGTCGGTTGTTGAAATCCAAGCTCCCATATGTTGAGCGAAATCTTGGTTCTGTTGTTAGCATAATAAGACACTCTATTCAAAATGCCCATGCATTTGAAGAGGCTGCTAGATATCTTCAAGAAAGGCGCTTGGAAACGGTAAGTTTTCAATTGATGAATTATCAACTTTCCTACTTTTATGCTCCATGGTTAGCTCGTTTCTTCCTCAGTATCAGCTATTTCCTGCTTGGAAAAGCAAATATTATTGTCTTGTTATGGTTGCTGATGAGCAAATAAGCTTCTTAAATGTATGTATTCTGGATCATGATCGATGCCATTGGTAATCAAAATTCTCAGATTGTTGCCAATGCTTAAAAATGTGTAATTGGGTATTGAGGCATTCTATAACCATGAGGCAAGGCTTAACATCATTGTAAACCAAAAAAATGTACAAAAAATATTAAAATACAAAATAAGCTCGTAATAAATCATTAAAAATCTTCAAAATTCATAATAAAACAATTTAAAGCGTGCAAACTAACAAAAGAAAAATCTATTAACAACAAAAAAATGCTTTTAGTTGGTGGGAGCAGTGGACTATGAGTCTATGAGAGGGACAATTTTTTGATGTTTTAGTGTGCATTGGGATATTTCCGAAATAGGTTGGAATTTATATGTTTATGAATTATTTATAATCGATCAAATCACTTTTTATCCGCTTGTTTCGGTGGGATCCACAAGTACTATCTTCCTATCAATCACTCATTTGTTTCATTTATAATTTAAACCGTTTATAAACAACTGAAAACATGCTTTTAGATTATATAGGGTTTTCAAATTGTATGGCTTCGGAACACTGTGAGCCTCTAGTTAAGAGAGAGAGAACAGGATATTGGTGTTTAGAAACTAGGGTTTTATCTTTTGATTTTTTTGTTTTATATTCTGGGTGCCCAATGAAGTATGGTCAGGTAGAACATAATAATTTTTGGTTCTCGAGGAAGTCACAGTATGGCGGAATCATCAAAGCGAGTATATTTTCTGGTGGATCTTTTACAAACTGAGGAGTCAGTAAATAATCAAGAATAGGCCATGATGTCCTTAATCTTGTTTTCCAATTTCCTAGCGATACTTAAGTTCTTTTGGTTAAAGATTTGAGTGGACTGCACTGCACGCATTACCGATTAATTGAATAAAGGATAACTCCATGGACGATCATTTTTTATTGGATCCTTTAATAGTTAGTACCAATATATGGTCTGTTTTCATTCTTTTTCACTTGCTATTTTTTATACCTAAATGTATGGTATTGTGTATTTAATGAAAGTAAGATTATTTTATGCAGGCAATTGAAGAGAACGCTTTGGTTACTGAAGAATCTGATGCGTTGCCTCCTGAAGCTCCTGAAATAATAAACACCAGCGAAGAAGTTGAAAACACCAATGGCACTTTACCAAATGATAGCATTTCCAAGAATACACCAGCGTCTATGGAATGTAAGGATGGGGCACCGATGATTGGAAGTTCCAATGACGGAGTTACCGTAAATGCTCAGGAAGGTTCTCATTTGCTTCCAGGGAAACATGGAGATGTAAAAAGTAAAACGGATGGCTGTACTGCTACGAGTCAAAGGGACGTATCGAGTTTGTCCAATCCAGTAAGTTCTTGTTTTTCATTGCTATTTAATCCATATGTATACCACCCAATTTAGAATAATAGAACTAGTAAATGCAAATCAAGCCCCCCAAACGCTCGCACCCCTCAACCCACAAGGAAAAANTTCACGGAAAATCGATTTTCTTTCTTTATTGTGGTGATGTACCGTTCAAGTATAAATATTTCTCTTCTATTTTTAGGCTGAAGCGACTGTTCAGGTGCTAAAGAAGCCAAGCCGAGCTTTTGGGACATTGCTGGGGAATTCAGCTAAGAGGAAGTTTGATCCTGATAAAAAAGTGAGTCTTATGATGATATTAAATTAAAATTCTCCTGCTTCACCGGCTTCTTATGGTAAATAATAGTTTGTAGCCTTGCAAGTGCTTGCACGTGGAAGCTATATGATCTATCCACCCCAACTGGATTTAGAATTTGACATGCAGTAGAATTTTGATACTTTTTGAATGGTCCTTGAGTTTTGCAATACTTCCACGGATGGAGGTCTTTTGAGATTTCTTTACTTCCATGGATGAAGGTCTTTACTTGGTTTTCTTTTTCATGATCTTGAAAATTCTTTTTACATTGTATGATTTTTAGGAACAAGAAGAAACTAAACTGGAACAGATAAAATCTTCAGTGAATCTTCCATTCCATACATTCTCAGGCAAGGAACGGTTGCAATCAGATGTTATAGAATCTGCTAAGCCATTGGAGGTTCCACAACAGGCGGAAGCTGTTCCTACGCCTACGACTGGCTCAAACTTGGGAGACGTTATTTTGTTGAGTGATGATTCAGATATGGAGGAATCAGGAAATGGCAACACAGAAGCTCCTCTTAATGATCAGCCGCAACAGCAGGAAAACAATACAACACGTTCCGCTGAGGAAATTGAGGAGGAAGATGTGCCCATGTCTCTCTCTGATCTGTCCTCCAGCTTCCAGAAGTGCTTTCCAGCATCAAATCAAACACAAGAATCCAAAGCGGCTGGTAAATCTCAACCATCGGATTTCCTGCAGGTGAAACCCTTCGACTTTGAAGCTGCACGAAAGCAGGTAAAATTTGGGGAAGATAACAGGAGAGGAAAAACGGAAGCCAACGATGGAGATGATAAGATTAGGCTTAACAAAGGAGATAAGAAAAAGAGTTCTGTTATGTCACAGAAGGATGAGGATGGAAATGATCTCCCACAGGGAAGAAGACGTCAGGCTTTCCCAGCGTCGGGCAATCGCAGTGCAACTTTCCGTTGAGTTTGGTACTTTGAGCCAAAACTGGCTTTTTCGTGTACCAAGTTGGATGTAGAAATCTATTGGCAAAAGGAAAGGAAGAAGAGAAGAATGTTGTTCATTAGGTTCATTATCATGACGATGAAAGTCATTTGGAAAAAAAAAAAAAAAACTGAAACTTGCTGTACTGATTGAAGTAATGAACTTAATCTTTCCAAATCTGTTTTGAGAATCTGTAGTATGAATTACAGAAATTAGATTTGGTTTAGTAAACAAATCTCACTGACCCTGAAAAATGTGTTTTTGAAGGGCCTGTTTTTGTGGATGGATCAATGCGGTTAAAGAACAAAAACTTTTACCCTAAAAAATCAGTTAGATTGGCATTAAGTACATGGCGTTCAAGCTTTAGTACAAGCTCATGAAAGAGAAACTTTTGTGGGGCAGTTTTATATAAGCATGGTGATATGATTATTTATATGAATCATGACATTTCGAATTTTGAATCGCTCAATTGACGAGGGTGCATAAAATATAAAGCTTGCTATTTGACATTTTAGATTCCGTTCTTCTAGATTGGTTAAATTCTGGACGTATTTTTCGTTTGATTAGAAGTTTAGGTCAAAATTCTTTTTGTACAATTTCTTGTACGCATAATACTTCATTGTTTCGAATTAAAAGAAAAATAATTGTTCATGTGAAAAGGTTGGCATAGATGTGAAACATGAACGATCACAATTTAAACATCGTTAAGAAGAGACATGTATAAATCGATCTTCTTAGCGTTACCATCATTTTTGTGGGTAACTCGAACCATAAGATGATATTGATCTCATTTAGTGTGATTGTAGCTATAATCATGTTACACTCGCATCTTTAATGACTTGAATGTTTTATATGTTTGTCATTTCACTTGTAGTTTAAAGATGTCATGCTTTTGAATTATGTCTTTGGAGAGATTGTTGTTTTGATTTAAGCCCTTGTTAGCTTCCATTCGATGCTACTAGCATTTTGTCGATTTGACTTGGTCGAGCTCCCTAACATTTCGTGTATATCTTTTAGTGATGACGTGTTGATTTTAAAATTTTCAATTTAACTTAATTAGATATTATTACGTTCCGTCTAAAGTTTCTCGAGTGTCCAATTATTGTTTACAAAACATTAAAATAATTATCACAACTGAACTTGAGTTTTGACTGTATCAGAAAAATATGATGCCAATTAAAAAATTAATGTTTTATTTGTAAAATGGACTATAATATTTCGTTACAGCGGTGTCTTAAGCATCATAATTTCTGAAAAAATCTCAATCACATCGGCCAAAACCGGCAGACGGCGAATGACCCACCTCCGCCCCCACGCCTCGTCCTCCATGGTTCGCCTTAACATAGGTAATACCCGCACACACACGTTCTCTTTATTTATATGTATAATCTGCTGTTTCGTTAAAATTTGTTTATTTATAGTGAATATTTACCAATATGATCACTATGTTTGGTAAAACCCTATGTTTGTGCAGTTTGAATTCTACTGGTTTTGGTGCTCAATTTGTCGTATTTCTCGAATTGATGCTCTGTTAAATAGTTTTACCACACGCACTTGGGTGATCGAGCTGTAGTATTAGTTCTCAGCTATGGATCACTAGATGATTTAGTATTTTGGTATACTAGAGAATTACCACATGTCACAGAATTGGTCGGATTTAAACAATTATTATATATACACATTTTTTTGTGTGTATTTAAATAGATATGACCATTGATTTGATAATAGGATAGGATATAGATTTGGCATACACCGGTCCTTAAAATTTTTAGGATTTGATATTATATTTGTGGGTTGAATTGTTTCACTGTCTCAAGCACAAGCTAAGGTTGCTTCAGTCAATTAGAGTAGGTAAATTGTGCATAAGTAGGGACTGTAATATGACCAAAGACTCTTGCTTGGACTTGGACAAGGGTGTAGATCTAGTTGTCTTGCATGTAAATCATCAAAATTTAACATTGGGGATTTGGTCAATACCATGCCTGGACACACTGTAAATTTTTACTTGAACTATCAAGCTAATATTAGTATGTTGTAAAGCGTTCTACAACATTTCACATAGAAAAGAAATGTTGTTTAGTTTTTAAGGTGTAATATCATAACTAATACCATCATTGCCGCAAAATTATGCAGCATTTTCCGAAGGCTTGAAATTGCTTTGCGGTGATGGTTACAGAAAGGTCATATTGGAGAGATACTCCCTAATGGGAGGCTTGCAAGTGAAATGGAACTTGGTGCATATAATAGTATGATATTGAAAATTTGTGAGCTGATGTGCTAGGATGCGGAGTATGTGATGAAGTTCCTGAGGAGTGAGGATAAATGTTGCATTAATAAGTTGTCAAAATGTTGCCTGAATTTTCTCAAGCTTGACTGGGAGTTTGTTAGATGCAGATGCTATGAGGGCTGCATTACACTTCAAAACACCAAGAAGAAGAATAAATGTTGTATACGTCTGGAAACATTCTATTTTTGTAATTAAATTGTAGTCATGACGTAATTCTTGAGACTCATTGTATGAGTCTTGAAGTGTGTCTGTTTTTTAAAATCTGCACATGGCTTGAGTCCTTTGTCATGTCAGATATAGGTTCAATAGGTGTTGAAAATGCTGGACAAACATAAACAAGCAAAATGAGGCTCTACATGAAACAGTTGAAAAGAATACTTCGCACCACGGATGATGCTTCCCTGAATGTATAGTACAATACTTGAGAACTTAATCATTGCAATTTAGTCATTTGATAGTATATAAATAATGGTTTTATAGTTCACGGTGATCTATTCTCCACTACTAATAATTTTAAGATTCTCTTTTTAGGGGAGCAGGTAAAAAATAGGATTAGGTTTCATTTGGAGAAGATGTATGATTCAACATATAAGATTGTAAGCTATACTAAAACAAATATGGTGCATAAAAAAAACAGAGTTATATTCAAATTAACTTCTTCTCTTCATGTTGTAGCCAGTTTACTATTCATAATTTTTGTGATCAAATTTATTGTTGAACAAAAGTTGCTTATACTGATTTCTTAATATTTTTGCAACTAGAAGTTGATATGACAATGAGCTAAATGGTTTCACTAAGTTTATTTGGCATTGCAGTTTTCTATGCTAGAGTAGTTGTTATATGGATTATTCTATTAGAAATTTAATTCTTTACCTTTTCCCTTCTTAAGGAGGCAAAAAATTTTGCACAACAATTGATACCTTGACTCAGAGTGAGCCTGAATCGATGCTTGCTGCAATGTTCAGTGGTCGCCACACTGTCTGCCAAGACTCTGATGAGGTATACACTTATAGAAAAGCTTGCCTAGACATGCATAAGTTATTTGGTAGTTGTATTTTCTAATGCTGTAAATTGATAGTTTACTACATCCCAGATACATCTATGTTCTGTATTAACTTGCATTGGCACATGCAAAGTTATTAAATGTAAATGTTTTGAAGATGCTTTTTAAAACTTAGTCAGGAAACTGATATCTAAATACCTGCTATACGTGAAAATATATATTTCTGTGCTACATAAACTTTGTTATGCAAACAATTTGATATATGCAGGTCTTACGTCGATATTGTCTAAAATGTTTCTGCCTATTTGTACACAGGGTTATGTTTTTGTTGATAGGGATGGGAAACATTTTCGGCATATTTTGAATTGGTTGAGGGATGGTATTATTCCCACCCTTACGGATTCTGAATATTCAGAGCTTTTACGAGAGGCTGAATATTACCAGCTTATTGTAAGGAATTCATTTCTCTTGCTAAAAGTTTCACTTTCTAGCTTGTTGTTTTGTCAGTATCCTTATATTCCCTTAAATATTTGAGATTACCGATGCTTGAAAGTATGCGGTCAAACCTTGTCTATGGTAGGAATGTGCTGATATCATTTCACTCAATTTCTCAATATGCATGTGGTATTCTTTTGCTTGTTCTCATGTTCAATTAGCCCAAAATTGTTAGTCAGAAGGTCTTTGCTTGGTTGGAGGTCATTCATTTTGAAAAATTGTTTGATAAAACTCACTTATGTTTAATATCAGGGATTAATGGTTTTCTTTTTCTGTATCAGGGATTAATGGATGGAATTAAAAATGCTTTGAATAAGAGGAAGGAGGATGAGGAGATGGGGACTGAATTGACTCGCATTGATATTATCAAATGCATACAGTCTGAAAAAGTCAGATTTCGAGGTGTCAATCTTTCCGGCATTGATCTTTCAAAATTGGTACTCACTCAATGCATATTTTTCGTATTCGTTAACTGTCATATACTCATATGTAAATTGATGGATATAAAGTCTTCAGATATGTTATCATTTTTACTTCGCAAATTCATTATTGCTTTTATAAATTCTTAGAGGAAGAGATGCATACTTGGAAAAATGGAAATATGAAAAATGAAAAGGGTTAAGAGTTCCTCCTATAAGATTTTGGCACGTGGCTCTTGGTGATATCTCTACCTATACGTAGTGTAACTATTACTTTGAGATGGCACCACAACAGGTTTTCTACAGGTTTAGGATATGTTTACGTATAACTGTTGAATATTCTGAGCATGAGTTTCTTGCTCACACTTCTAATTCAAAATTTTGTTCTTTCTAGGTTGACTTCTTACAGTACGTGTTTTATGAAAATGCAGGACCTGTCATTTGTGGACTTCAGTTTTGCATGCCTTAAAAACGTATTTTTTTCACGTGCCAATCTTCAGTGTGCAAAATTTAAGGTGAGTTATTTTTTATGATTTTTGTTCTCTCTCCCTAGGAGATCATTGAAGATCATCGTGATGGTTACTGCTCGATTTCTCAAAATGTATACATAGTATCAGTGGCGGGTTTACAATAGGGACAACTGCGCCCACTTTACTCTTGTATATTGCTGGAGAAAGTCTACTTTATTACCATAGTCAAAGTTGTTTTTCAGCTTTCACCTTTTTGAGTGGCTTTTAGTGATTAATTCATGCTTTTTAAGAAGTGCTTCCTTGTACCA